CTCCTCTGGCAAGGGGTTCAACCTCTCAGAGTCTCCTGGGCCTCATCTGCAATTGGATGTCTAGTGCCTTCTTCACAGAGCCTAAGAGAACTTACTGTGTATACAGACCTGACTGGCTGGAACTCTGACCTGCCACTTACGTCCCACACTGTAGTATCAGCACTTGAGAAGCTGAGGCAGGAGGATGGCTGTAATTTGACACCAGACTGGGTTGCGGAGTGAAACTGGACAGAGATTAGCAAGCACAAGGGTGAATGGAGAGGGTGTGTGTGTGTGTGTTTGTGTGTGTATGTTCACGTGCATGTGTCCCACGTTGCTTGCATCAGCAGAGACGGGTCATGGCCAAGTGTGCAGAACTCCACATCAGGGCTCAGCCTCCACCCCCAGCTTCCTGCTGAGTGGAGACAGGATCCTGTGTAGGAGGTGGTGCAAGTGCAGGAAGCTGGGCTTCTGCAAGGTTGTCCTGGCCCTTTCCTGCTTGTACTGTCCTAGACAGAGGCCTTTGGGCTTCTTGGCACAGGCCCAGGCAAAGCTAGGAGCCAAACAGCACTGGGCAGACTGTCCCCAACAGTGTGCACTAAGCAGGCCAAAGGCTTTAAGAGCCTGTAGCTTCAGACACACCTGGGACCCACCTCTACCTTAGTAACACGTGGTAATAGTTCTCAGTCTGTGGGACCTGTTTTAGATCCAAAATGTAGGCAAAACTCACAGACCCATCTGGACAAAGTGGTACACACCAATGAGCTGTGTGAGGGGGAACCTGGAGCTCCAGGCCACGTCACAAGTCTCCGCCTCAAAGACAACAGAGTAAAACCGACAGACTAACCTCCAGCTGTGTGTGGGTCTTTCATTAGACCTTGCTGGGTTCTGAACAGGAGGTAGTGTGCTCCCTGAACAGGATCTGTGGGTTTTATGAAATATTAGATACATTCTAGAATTATGCATTTTCCTCCTCTGCAAAGCTGGCCATCCGAGTCCTCCCACTGGCCTTCCTGAGAACCAGACACATTTTGGCCTTGCCCTAGGTCCTTGAAGTCTGGCCTTGCATGCTTGCCCATGCGGCACTGTGCTGTTGTTGCACTGGGACCCGGCCCACCAAGCCATAAGAACCAGGCCCATTTGCCGCATGGCTCTGTGAAGTACCCAATTGGAACACAGCCACCTACAGTCTCGAGTGTGGCGCCTATGTGGACTTTTGTGCTGAGTCAGAGCACATCTGACCTTCAGAGGGCTTCACCGAAGTGGCTTGTGAACTCTCTGTGTTGTACACAGAAGCTGGGGCTGGGGAGTATGCAGGACAGGATGCCACTGTTGGCCCCACATAGCAGGACTGTGCCTGACTCCATTGCTTCCTGGTCTTGATGTACTGGGTAGCAGTGGTGATGACTATGCCAGCCCCGTCCAAAGCTGTGTGGTCCATTGACTCGCTTTGTTCCAGACATCCGTGTCCCTCACAGAGAGCTGGCTCAGACCAACCCAGGACTGCCAGTCTTTGGGTGGAGAAGCCCTGGGAAAATTGGACTCATTATTCCTCACCCCTAACTGCTCCCCACCCCCAGCTGGAGCATCAAAGGGTGCTTGCTAGTCTGGGCCTCCAACAGGGAGGCAGAGGAGGCATTAAGGTCCAGCCTCCATCACTCCAGGTAAAAATTAACAGATCAAGTCAGAGGCAAGACCCTGGGCTCTGAAAAGACAGATGGCTTCCAGTTGTGTGACCCTGGATGCTACACGGGTTGGAAACTTTGTAGGAGGTTGTTTATAAAGGAGAGTCATGGGGATAGACGAGTGACACTGAATGAAGGAAGCAGTAGCTCTGGAGTCTCTAGTGGTGTATACCCCCTCTGCCTCCTCCATGCCACACTGTGTGCCTCCTCGCCTGTGTTACCCGGCAGTACCTTTCTCTGTACCACCCTGCATGCCCTCCTCTCCGCTGCTACCCTGCATGTTCCCCAGGCTCCACAGCAGCCATGGCCTGAGATGCTTTTCCTATCCTCACTGCTGGCTCTCTTGGGTGGCTCCCCTTCAGCATGTGTCATGGTCTCTGATACCTAGGGTCACCCCCTTCCATCCACCGCAGCCATTTATAGGAGAATAGAGTGGTGCAGGAGTGAGATGGCATTGCTGCCTGGAAGTGGGTAGTTTGAGAGCTGTTTCCCGGGGGCAGGACCACACAGCAGGTCTGAGTGTGTGGATAGGGGCCGTGGCGCTCATCCAGGGCCACTTTGTAAGCCCAGTAGCTGCTTCTGCAGCTAACCCGTGTGCTGTTAGAACCCTCTCTCTTCTCACAGCTCCCTTCTTCTTGGGAACCTTTTGATCTGTTGAAAATGGAGAAAGGTCAGTTAAGAAAATACAAATGGGGCCAGGTGGTGGTGGCGCATGCCTTTCATCCTAGCACTTGGGAGGCAGAGGCAGGGCAATCTCTGTGAGTTCAAGGCCAGCATGGTCTACAAAGTGAGTTCCAGGACAGCGAGAGCTGTTACACAGAGAAAAAACCCTGTCTTTCAAGAAGGGAAGGGAAGGGAAGGGAGGGAAGGAAGGAAGGAAGGAGGGAGGGAGGGAGAGAAGGAAGGGAGGAAGGAGAAAAAGAAAGAGAAGAAGAAAGTATAGATGGGTTTAAGCCAAAATGCTGGTTCCTTTCCTCTCCTATGGGCGCCTGCACCTCAAACTGGGTGTTTCTGCACTTGGCACCTGTGCTGTGTCTTTCATTTGCTTTTGTTAGAGACAGACTCTCGTGTAGCCCAGGCTGGCCCTGAACTCACTATGTAGCTGAGGACAACCTGACCCTCCACCTCTGTCTTCTGTCTCTCTGAATCCCGCTAATGTGAGCCATGCAGTCACACAGTAGGTGCCCAGGAAACAAATGTCTGTCTGTATCAGGTGGTTCCCTCAGATCCCTCCTCACTTACTTCCCTCTTCCCTTCCCATGGCCTTAGGGCAGCTCGGGGATGAGCTAAGAGCTGGTGTGAGGCCTCCATTCTCTAATGGCCCATTTTGAGAACTGCATGACACCGGGGCGGGTCCGCATTGAAGGACAAAGCTGAATTTGGAAACTGACTTTTCCGTTTCCTTAGCTGTGTGGTTTCTACTCATCGTGTGGCTTGTAGGGCCACAACCTCTTCTGCTAACAAATGAGAACAAACCCCACCTCATGGCACCAGCCACAGGCAGCAGTTGCTTTGGGCCAATGCCCTTGCACAGCTTCACTGACAGCCCCTTCCCGTGGTCCACAAGGCTGCTCTGTGTTTGCACTGCAGTTTCAAGTTGAGTGTAATAATAACCAGAGGAGCTCAGAGGGGTTAGGCATTGAGAGGCCAGGATCTCACAGCTGGGTCTGAGTGCAGGCAGCCCGAACCATTCCTGTGTCTGGCACACAACTAGAAAGACTCACAATCCCTGGATGCCCTCAGCATCCCCCACTCCCTGGACCACTGAGGCTGGCTGTCATTTGTCACCTTGATCTAGGTAGCGGCTATCCAGTATGATAGTCCCCACCGGCTCCAGTAGCTTCTGAGCCTTTGCCATATGACCATTGTAAATCAAAATGAATTTTGCATTTTATTCGGTTTGGCTGAATTTGAAATCACATGTCTTCTAGACTCCAAGCAGTGCATTGGGCACCCTGCTCTGAGATAGACCACTCATCAGCTTGTCCATGGCTCTCATGAGCCTATGTTCTTTGGATTTAGCTGGTGCCAGCTGTGGGGTTGGCAAGCCTGGGCATACTCAGCACTTCAGGAATCTCCTGAGAGCAGCCAGGTTGTTTTTGGAAGCCCCTAGTGCCCTCCCTGGATCGCTTGGTTTCTCCCCAGGGGGAAGTCTGCCACGACGCCCAGGAGTCCCAGGCCAGAGCATCTTGCAGTGTAGGACAAGGTGGGATCCCTTCTCCAATGGGGCCTCATTGTATTAGCAGGGCTGGATTTCCAGAGAACAGAAAGGACAGACAAAATAAATGAAAAAGGGTGAGGAGTGGGTGAACTCTCTGGAGATGGAGGATTGAGATACAGGCAGCCATTCCTTCCCATTGTGGCACAAACGGACAGTCACTGCTGGTGTTCCAGGTCCTTCTGTCTGGCTGGAGCTTCCCAGCAGCCCCTGTTTACAGACTAGGGAAACTGGCTCTCTGAACTCCAAGATCCGACACTCTCCATGTCTAGAGCCACATTCTGTACCATCCATACCCCAGCATCTGAGACAGGACCAAGGAGGGATGTGGAATGTTAGCTGTGTCTATTAACTCTGCCCTCCCCAGTGACAGGAACACCTTCTCTTGGATGAGGGGAAGTGGGAATTGCGTGATGGTAAAGCCATAGGAACGCAGCATATCTGCTAATGTAGCCTCACTTGCTGGGAGCTGAGTTATGAAATCTCACAGACCAAGACGGGAAACATGTTCAGTTCATTCTTGGGTTAGCCGGTTAGAGAAATTCTACTCTCCTCTGTGGGGCTTCAGGACATATTGTGCACTTACACAGGCACCAAGTAAGTCTTGGGTGGTGGAGGCTGGGCGTTACTGGACTATATGGCACCCTTTGGAGCTGCACAGTGCACAGCCTGGTGAAGCGCTCCCAGGATTCCCTGGGCGGTGACAGGCAGGCTGTTGTGTTGTTTGGCTTTCCTGATGTTCAGGGCTGATAGGATGGAAGAGACTGGGAGGGACTCCGGCTTCCTGAGTCAGCAGTGAACCTGTGAACCGAGCCACTGAACTCCCTAGAGCAGTGTCTCTCAACCTCCCTTAATGCTGTGACCCTTTAATACAGTTCCTCATGTTGTGGTGACCCCCAACCATAATCTTACTTTTGTTGCTACTTTATAACTAGAATTTTGCTACTGCTATGAATCATTATGTTGGTATTTTTGGAGATAGAGGTTTGCCAAAGGGGTGATGACCCACAGGCTGAGAACTTCTGTCCTAAAGGACCAGGTGACTCCCCACCGTAGCAAAGGTCTGCAAAGTTTTCTCTCCTAAAAGCCATTGTCCGGTGCCTCCAGCCCATAAGCCCCTCTGCCTCAGCCCACTACTGACACAGCTTTTTATTGCTCTATAGGACTGTGGGGACAGGAAGCTGTGCTGAGCAAGCCCGAGGACTGGTGCTTGGAAATGAGGGAGCCCTGGGGAGGTGAGTCCACCCAGAGACCCCCTACTGTCCTGACAAGCCCTTAGCATAAATGCCTCAGTGTCCTTGCCAGCATCAGTCCTGGAAGCTCTCTGCCCAGTTGGTTGGTTAAAGCACAGAAAGAGTCGAGCCTGGTACACACCAGGAATGCCAGTCAGTACTCAGGAAACTGCAGGTGCACTGTGCAGTATAGGCCAGCCTGGGCAGTGCTTGCTGAGTGCCTCCTGCAGGCTCCGTCCAATGTTCATGTTGGGAATGATCGCCAATGCTCCCCTTGGCTGGAGGGGAAAGCCTCTTGTCTGTGTTGCAAACCAACAAGTTGCAGAGGGGGATTTGAACCCAGTTCTGCAGAACTCCTGCCTGCTGTTTTTACTGCTGGGACAGCAGTGGCTCCTCAGAGCTGCCCTCTGGCTCATCCCACCTGCCTAAGAAACCATTGTTTTCTTCTGGACAAGCATGACCTTGACCTCGGTCAGGCCTATAGTCCTGGCTGTGCGGCTCTGAACATCCAAGAATTATAAAAACAAAACACAGGGAGGATGTTTTCTAGACTTTGGATTTTGAAACACGTGAATGGCTTGTTGGGGGCAATCTGGTTGCACAATAAACTTTTGCTGTCCTGTGTTCCCTTTTCCTCCAAGGTTACTTTGTCAGTCACCAACCACAGGCACACACATGCATGTGCACACATCTGTACACTGTACTGCCCCTTTCTGCAAGCAACCTTCAGTTAAAGCACCCCCCCCCACACACACACACACCACCTTTTCACCCCTAAAGAGCAGTGGTTCTAATTCCAGCTAAGGTGTGGTTAGTGGCTTCCTTGGCACAACAGTCAATTGCAAGCGGCAGAGTTTGGATCTCAGGTCCACTAGGTGAACTTTGTGAAACACTTGAGGCATCCTTAGATATCTGAGTGTCTTTGTGTCTTAAGCCAACCTGCTCTGTCCCCTAAAAGTGCTTTGGAATTAGTCTTGCCCATCATGGATCCAGAATTGAAGCAGGGAGCAGCCCCCGCATTGGCAGCAGTGAGTGAGTTAGCTGTTTTACCAGTGTGAGGCCCCTGCTGTGATCTGATGCCCATGTTGCTGGCTCTGGGCAAGGTTTATCTGCCTTGGCAGGCACTTTCCAACCTTGCAGGGGACCATCCCTAGTTTGACTACGGGACAGATGGTGGCCACCAGAAACTCCAGCCTCAGCATGTTGGCCTTCAAGCTTAAGACTGCTTCCTCAACTTATGTCCAGTTTTCACTTGCTATGCCCCTGTGGGTAGGCTGGCCCATCTCAGAACCTGGTCCTTTGATGGTTTTTGTCAAGCCTCATGTCTAAAATCTGATGTCACATTTCTGCTCACCTCCCTAGACACTCCTGTGTGTGCTGAGCCACTTGGAGCCCCTGGTCACTCAGGGTTCTGTCTCCCTGTGCTTTCTTAGTGGCTGCTCCGGCTTCCAGGAACACCTTTCCATGCCTGCCACCTTCCAGTTCTCCCTGTTGTTTAGACCTCAGCTTGAGACCCAGCTGCCCCAGGATTTTGCTGCTCTTCTGGAGGGGGGGGGGCAATCATCTCCCAGTGTGAGCCCACAGTGCTAGCTAAGTTGAAAGTGATAGAACTGGGTAAATCTGGGCCCATCCAGCTGATTCCAGGAAGAGGCTCAAGGGGCAGGCAAGGTAGAGAACAGGAGAAGTGGCCTGAGATGGGCAGAACATCTACTCACTGTCTGTGCTGGCCTCCAGATGTGGATCCTGAGTGTTGGCAGTGATCTGGGCAGGGGCTGAGAGTAGTTGGCTCTGCTTTTCATGGGAAGCCCCCATCTGAACAAAGCACTGCTGGATTCCTACCCTCTGGTCAGCAAGGCCTGGAGAGGGCAGATTGTTACCATTAGTGCTCCAGGCAGTCCTGTGTCCCTCATCCCCGCTCCCCCTGCTGGCCTTTAGCCTCCAGCATTAGAGCCCAGCCAGTGCCCTGGAGCCACCCTTGGACTTGGTCTGGCCGTTTGCACTGTCCTCATTCTGTTCCCTTCCCTCTAGCCTCAGCAGCCCTCTCTAGCCCCCGGCTGGGATGCCACTTCCTCCCCGCTGGGTCCCTCTAGCAGCATCTAGTTCATTGTCACACCATGCATATCCCCTGTGAGCTCCCCACTTCTTCACTAGGACCTGTGCCACAAAGGCCGCTGTCCTGGCTGCCTGTCTTCAGTCTTCCCAGCCCTGGGCTTAGTACATAGACTTTAGTGCCAACTTGGTGAGCATGTCCAAAATGCAAATAAAGGGAAGGACATTGTTGAAGTAGAGTGTCCCCTGCCATGCCGTACAGGGCAGGCCAGTCAGGACCCTTGTTGGGTAACTGTGGGTGTCTCTCCTAACGTCCGTTTCCTTCTCTGTGCCAGGCCCTGGTCATTCAGGCACTCATTACAATGTTGTTAACTGAGCATTGATGAGCCAGGCCTGTGCAGGGAGCTGAGGACATAGGCCCCTGTGCACACTGCAGGAATCAGCCAGATCTGTGGGTTATGGTATTTGTTTTTTGTTTTTGTAGTTTTTGTTTTGTTTTGTTTTGTTTTCCAAGACAGGATCTCCTGTATATCAGGCTGGCCTCAAATTCCTGATCTTTTTACCTTTACCTCCCACAAGCATTAGCCACCACACCTGGTTTATGTGGTTCTGGGGGGATCAAGGCCAGGGCTCTGGGCATGCTAGGCAGGCCCTCTACACAGAGCTACTTTCTTCCTGGACCAAGGTTACCTGATATGGCTGTCAAGAAATTAAACTAGGATGGGTTGGAGGGACCACAGCAGGTGGTGACAATTTTATTGAGTGCAACCAGACTTTTTATACCGGTATCAGAAGCAGAATATAGTGGCAATTGCCAAGATCAATACAGTTGTGGTTGCCAGGATACAGTGATGTAAGCGGCACAGGGTACACAAGATTAATGTCTAAGACCAATTGTCCTGTCAAGCTTCCATGCTTCCTTGACTACTAAGGGAACATACAGAGAGAATCACAAGGTGACCTGAACACTCCACTGCCTCGGTTTCTCAGGAACTGTAAGGCAAGCTGTGCCCCAGGAGCCATGGACGTGAAAAACCTGTGTATGATGCATGCCTCTCAAGGTAGCCAGGCCAACTCCATGGCTCCCTGCATGAAGCCCTACTTTTTATTTTTGATACAGGCAAGCTTGAATTTGGAATACTCCTGCCTCAGCCTTCTAAGTAGGTGGCGTACAAGCTTGTGCTGGTGTTTCCAGCATTTTAATAATAACCACCATCTCTGCCCTTCGTTATCAATTGGCCAGCTAATTGACTGACCAAGGCACCACAGCCATGGTGGTGGAGGATTGAGTCTTACTGTCCACTTGAGGCATTTGAGGCCACAGTAGTCCCAGGGGTGGGGCAGGGGGAAGCACCAGATAGATGCTTTTACCTACATGTCACTGAGCTTGTTCAACCCAGCGTCTATTTTGTGTCCTGATGGGGCTGCTGACACCATCCCTCTCTCCACAGATGCACACCAGGTAGACCTTCTGACCCGTCGATGAGGCGGGCCCCCTGCCTGGGCCTGGGCCCCTGGCTGGGCATGCGCCTGTCGGTGCGCAAGGTGTTGCTGGCTGCTGGCTGCACACTGGCCCTGTTGCTGGCTCTGCAGCTTGGACAGCAAGTGTTGGAGTGCCGGGCGGTGCTTGGGGGCAAGCGAAGCGCACGGAGGATGCGGCCAGAGCAGGAGGAACTGGTGATGCTTGGTGCCGACCAGGTGGAGTATCGCTACGGCAAGGCCATGCCGCTCATCTTTGTGGGTGGCGTACCTCGCAGTGGCACCACCCTCATGCGTGCCATGCTGGATGCGCACCCTGAAGTACGCTGTGGGGAGGAGACACGCATCATCCCTCGTGTGCTGGCCATGCGGCAGGCCTGGTCAAAGTCTGGCCGGGAGAAGCTGCGACTGGACGAGGCAGGTGTGACGGATGAGGTGCTGGACGCTGCCATGCAAGCCTTCATCCTGGAGGTGATTGCCAAGCATGGCGAGCCAGCACGTGTGCTGTGTAACAAGGACCCCTTCACACTCAAGTCCTCCGTCTACCTGGCACGCCTGTTCCCCAACTCCAAATTCCTGCTAATGGTGCGCGACGGCAGGGCCTCCGTGCACTCCATGATCACTCGAAAGGTCACCATTGCAGGCTTTGACCTCAGTAGCTACCGAGACTGTCTTACTAAGTGGAACAAGGCCATCGAGGTGATGTATGCACAGTGCATGGAGGTGGGCAGGGACAAATGCCTGCCTGTGTACTATGAACAGTTGGTGCTGCACCCCCGACGCTCACTCAAACGCATCCTGGACTTCCTGGGCATCGCCTGGAGTGACACAGTCCTGCACCACGAGGACCTCATTGGCAAGCCTGGGGGCGTCTCCTTGTCCAAGTGAGTGGGGCCCCACAGCTCCTCCCAGGCTCCAAGCGGCAGATCAAGTCTGCCCTTCTTGAGCTGTGCTACTTTAGGCAAGTGTCTGTGCCTCTCTGAGTTTTAGCATCCTTCCGTGTAATGGGGAGAGGTTTGGGAATTGGGTGATTGAAGGCAGAGTCTTGCACCAGATGGGTCTCTTCTTTCCTGTAGTCTTGTGATATGGAAAAGCCCAGACGATATGAGGAAAGCTCACACTCGACACCAAAGGCCCAGGCACCAGTAAGAAGCTGATGTCCACAGGGACTTTCAGCCTTAACCTTAGGATTTGATGTTTTCTTTCTTCAAGGACAAATTACTCATGATAATCATAGTATAACAAGTTATTTTTAAGAAAACACAGACTAGGCTGGCAAGATGGCTCAGTAAGTAAAGGGGCTTGACGTGTCAGCCTAGAAACTGAGTTTGATCCCCAGAACCTACTTAAAGGTAGGAAGAGAGAAGCAGCTCCACAAGGCTGTCCTCTGACTTACATGTGTGCATCATGGCAGTGCCCACCATACACACACATACACACATCATGTGCATACACACATAATAAAAATAAATAAGTAAATTAATTGGAAAATAATGAAAGAGGGGCAGGGGAGTGTAAAAGAGGGCCAGGGGATGTAAAATGCCCACTGTGCAAGTGTGATGGCTGAGTTTCAGCTTGCCCGGCATCCAAATAAAAACCACATGTGGTTGCAAGGGACTCACATGAGTCCAAAGGTAGATGGTAGGTCCTGGAGGTTCACTGGCCACCCTAAACAGCACAGTGAGGTTGGGGGGGAGACTGCCAAAAAGCCAGGTGAGGAAGTGATTAGGGAGATCAACATCTGGCTTCCACATATACTACACACATGAATAGATATGCCTATGCGCGCGTTCGCACACACACACACACACACACTTGAAGGAAACTTCGTCTGCTTCACCAGCAAGCACACAGTTCTGCTTCTTGATGTGTGCAGCTTCCATGATGACCAGTGCCCTGGCCACACACTCACAGATGATGGGGCAGAGCTGTCCAGGGGCCAGGGCTGTCGAACGTTCCTGCTGCCCCATAGCCACGGAGCAGGGAATGTCCCCAACCTGATGAGACTGTCCTCTCTCCCCAGGATCGAGCGGTCCACAGACCAGGTCATCAAACCCGTGAACTTGGAAGCACTCTCCAAGTGGACTGGCCACATCCCTGGGGACGTGGTGAGGGACATGGCACAGATTGCCCCCATGCTGGCTCGGCTTGGCTATGACCCCTATGCAAACCCACCCAACTATGGGAACCCTGACCCGATTGTCATCAACAACACACACCGGGTGAGTGCGTGTGCACACACAGGAGTGTGAGCATAGGCCAATCTCAGGGCTTCTGAGCATCATATTCTGCCTGATAGACTTAATAGCACCAATGTGGTTATTTCCACTTTGGCTTGGGCCTGAAGAAAGCTCAGGGTCAATAGATATCCTCCTCTCCTGTCACCTCTCACAGAAGATCTATTTATCTCAGGGCTTACTTTACCTTTCCTTCCTGTCTCCCTGGCTCTTTTTCCTGTGTGCAGAGCCCTTCAAATCTTGAGAGAAAACATACATAAAGAAAGAATGGACCACCGGGTAGTAGTGGCAGCGGTGCATGTCTTTAATCCCAACACTCAGGAGGCAAAGGCGGGCCAATCTCTGTGAGTTTGAGCCCATCCTGGTCTACAGAACAAGTTCCAGGACAGGCTCCAAAGCTACATAGAGAAACCCTGTCTCAAAAAACAAAAAGAGGAAAGGAAGGAAGGAAGGAAGGAAGGAAGGAAGGAAGGAAGGAAGATGTTGTCACTCTCTAAGTTATCATGTTGATTTCTCACATGCCAGAGCAGGAAGCTATTGAAATTTCTGTACTGAAGATACTCAAGGGAAGTGACTTTGACAAGGCATTTTATAAGAACAGCTCAGTAGCTCATGGTCAAGTCTACTTGGTGTCATCCAGCTTCTTGAGTGCTTGGGGTCCATATCTGAATACCCACACAGGTGACCTTGTGGTTACAGTTCTGGTGTGCCATGGCACATAATGAAGCTGACACGTTGTTGATCAGTTAGCTGTTGGGACATCTAAGATCAATGCATCACCCACTGGTGCAGTTATGTATTTGAGGTGTACACAGGCCATATTGCCTGTGTAGTTAGCATAGCCCATACTGCCTGTATAGTTAGCAGAGGCCATACTGCCTGTGTAGTTAGCATAGGCCATACTGCCTGTGTAGTTAGCATAGGCCATACTGCCTGTGTAGTTAGCATAGGCCATACTGCCTGTGTAGTTAGCATAGGCCATACTGTCTGTGTAGTTAGCATAGGCCATACTGCCTGTGTAGTTAGCATAGGCCATACTGCCTGTGTAGTTAGCATAGGCCATATTGCCTGTGTAGTTAGCATAGGCCATACTGCCTGTAGGCCATACTGCCTGTATAGGTGTGCAGAGGCAGTACTGTCTGTGCAGGTGTGCAGAAACACTCTAATATGCATGTGGCAGTGGATGCCCCTGAATGTGGCTCACAGCATCACTCCCACACTTCTGAGAGCAATCATTTGTTTCTTTATGGAGAATATCTCCCTGTGTAGTGTAGGCCAGCCACAAAACTGTGGTTCTACCTTGCCTGTCTCCTGAGTTGATGGAAATACATAGATGTGATTCAGCACAACCACCATTTCAGTGTATTTTGTTTTGAGACATGGTCTTGCTGTGTTGCCCAATTCCTGGGCTCATACAATCCTCCTGCCTTAGCCTCTTGAATAGCTACAATCCCAGGCATGCATTACAATTCCCAGTTAGCCCAAAGAAGTCTTTGTTGCCTCTTCAGTTCTTATTCATTTCTCATCTTCTTTGTGTGCAGGGCTGGGGATGGTCCCAGGACTCTAATGCCAGGCAAATGATCTACCACTGAGCCACCTCCTAGCCCTAATGTCTCAGCCCTTATAGAGACACAGACCAGCAAGCACCCCTGCACAGTGGCAGCCTGGGTATTCTCAGTGAGACTGTGATTGTGTCCGTGTTTATTATAAGTATTATTAATTAATTCTTATTCACAAACAAGTTATTCTTCAAACTCCATTCCCATGTTTTATATTCCTTTCCCTACAGAGGCTCCACTTGACCTTGGTAGACCACAGTGTTGTAGAGCATAAATGTGGGTAGTTAGTTTGTGTCAAAAATAAAAAGAGGCAGGGTGTGGCAAAGTGATAGAACCCTTACCAGCATGCATGAGGCTTTGGGTTCCATCCTAAGTAATAATAATATTCTAGATTTAAAAGCAGAGCCCTCACAGTGATGGAAATCCAGCTCTGGGCATCTCGAAGGGGCCACAGCAGTGGCAAGAAGGCATGCTGAGGTTCCATCCTTTTTCGTGGTGTGTGTGTGTGTGCCACAGGGATGTACAGTGCTGGATCCAAAGCTCCCAGGGAAAGGCCAGACTCTATTGTATAGAACAGGAATTCCGATGAACGCTGGCTGGTGTTGGATCAATTTTTCGAACCTTCTTTTTGTTAGAAATAAAACAGTGCCTAATTTTCTCCCAGAGAACCAGAGACATTTAGTCCTTGGATGTCTGGTCTTGGCAAAGGCCCTGGCTTGATCTCCGTGGTGTTCAACCTCTGCTGTGAAAGGATACCTCTGAGGAAAAGCCATATGGGAGCCGGTGGGCAGGTGTAGGTGCTGGAGTGCTTCGGGTAGTCTCCCTGTCCTGGGCCCTGAGCCTCAGTAACTCAGTGATGAGAATTGCACTCGTGAGACTGTGCCCATGTGGTTGGTTACTGTGGCAACCAGCCACAGGTGGCCATGAGACAGGAGCTAGGCCACATTGAGGCTGTATGTAAAAATACACAGGGGATTTGAAGACTTTGACCCAAAAAAACCTATCCGGTTTCTCACTAGTCATTTTTATATAGAGTTCATGTTGATTTGTTCAAGGATTTTACATACCATGCTGAGTCAAAGATATTTGCATTGATGGGTATAAAGTTGCACAGCTGGGTCCCATTTGACTCCTATTGACAGCAACAGGTGACACTGTCAGGGTGCTGGCAACACCCTAAAGTCCTCAGTCTTATCCTTTGCTGGAAGACTTTTGCTTCCCTATTTAACCTGGGTGGTTTTACTTATCCGGACCTCACCTCTGTGGTTGCATGGTTGCAGAAACCCTTGGTCACTTCCAACCACATACCTTTGCTTCACCACCTTCCTGGCATGTTCCATGGCTTCACATACTTGTGAAGGTTTGTGTGTACTGTTACCTGTATATTATCTGTGCCCTGTGACAGGGCACAGATAATGCAGGAGAAGAACTCCAGTCGCCTGATTAACACTATCCTGAGTAGATAGACGGATGGGTGGATGATAGACTGATGGATCTGTGATGGAGAAATGGAATGATGGGTAGATGGGTGGATTGATAGGGTACATAGATGAAAGGAGGGGCATGGGAGAGAGATATGTAACTGATAGGTGAGCCGGTGGAGAACTAGAGGGACAGAGGATGGGTAGATGGCTGGGTGGTTGGATAGATGTGTTAGTGATGACCTGGATTTTGCTCTCTGCCCATTTCTGCCACAGTGACACTTACCTTCTTTCCCAGGTTTTGAAAGGAGACTATAAAACGCCAGCCAATCTGAAAGGATATTTTCAGGTTAGAAAGCCCAGAGGGGGAATTCTGCTTTCAGTTTTCCTGACTGGACCCCAGCTCAGAGTTGGTCCATGGCTGCTCCACTTTGCCCTGGATGGATGATGGGTGGATGGATGGATAGATGGATGGATGCTAGATGGATGGATGAGTGGATGATGGGTAGGTAGATGATGGATGGATGGATGGATGGATGGATGGATGGATGGTGGATAGGTAGATGATTAGTGGATGGAAGGATGGATGGATGCATAGATGGATGAATGGGTGGGTGGGTGGGTGGATGGAAGGATGACACCCATCATAAAACTGAGTAGGGCTGGGTGGGGGTGGGGTGTGTCTCTTAGTGACTCATCTAGCCAAAGCCAATCTCAGAAGTACTTTTCCTGAGCTGTCCCACTCCTTGTCCTCTGGCTGGAAGATGGCTGGGGGACTCTGTGAGGACTTCATGTCTCTATGTTACCCCACCCTACTAAGGTGACAATTGCCAAGCACATCCCCAGACACACTTTTCTTCTTTATCAGGAAATGAGAGCTACAGGGTCATGGGGCATGTGACTAAGTGGCCATGAGCCACACTTCCCCATGCCTCCCACAGCTGGGCCCACCATCCTTGAGCTAGCTATCCCTGAGGGGTGGTCCACACAATGTCAGGAAAGGTACAGTTTGCACCTTCTGACAGCATGGACCTATGCTCTGCCACCATTGTGCTCCTCTGGGAGCTAAAATGCTGTCTTTCAAATGATGAGACAGTCCTGAGATGGGTGGCCTTGTGTACATGTTTATTTTTGTAAGTGTGGTGGTATGTGTTTATACATATTTACATGTTCATAGGGAGGCCAGATGTGAACATCAGGCATCTTCCTCAGTCTCTGTCTACACACACACACATACACATACACACCACATCACACATACATACACACACATACACCATACACATACACACCACACACGCACTTACACACTCACACCACACATACACACCACACATACGTACATACACACAGGCGCACACACACACTCACACACACACACCAGCTTTCTACCTTGTGATTTTGAAGCAGTCTCTCAGTGAGTCTCAGTCACTGTTTGTGCTGTACCAACTGTGTGGGCCACCCTATAGCAGTCATTGTTTTAAAGGTCAAACTATCAGTGTCTGAGTTCAGGGACAGTGGCTTTTCGCTGTTGCCTTCTTGGCCTGCTGTGTACATTTTCATGCTGATTGTGCTTCCACAGTATGCCCCACTGTCTGTGGGACTTCCCTGTCTGCTGGGTGGGGTCGAGACCCTTTTGGATGACCACATTATGTATACTGATGTACCTGCCCAAACTGGCTCAACTGCTCCCTTCCAAGGGTTCTAGTTTTCCCAGTATCTTACAAGACGTCCTATGTGAGGAGAAGAAATGTGTTCTCTTAGATTACTGCATTAAGGACTGGACCAGCACTGGGGTTGGAGGCCTAGGAGGGTGGAGCAGATGGATACAACACAAGATGATGCCCCTGTCACCTGGGAGCACCTGGGGATGAAAAGCTGCAGTCATCCTGTCCTGAGCACACTGTGTGTCGTGTGTGTGTGTGTGTGTGTGTGTGTGTGTGTGTGTGTGTGTGGTTTCCTGGTGGCTCCTTGAGTCACTAGTGGGACTAAGACTGGACCTCCTAAAAGGAAAAAGGACCACCCACCCCCACATCCACTACTTGATGCCTTCGTCTGCCTGTCTCCCTCCAGGTGAACCAGAACAGTACCTCCCCACACCTGGGAAGTTCCTGATTTTCGGGTGAGTGTTCCTGCTGCCTCTCGGAGGCTCCCAGCTCTGGCTAAAGTGCCCCATCCTTTCAACCTTCTCTCAGATGTGTCCACTAAGGTGGACAGATCCAGCCCCATCTCGTTTCCATGGTGACTGGCTAGGGAGCTATTTATAGAATGGAGGCTTAGTCTGTGGAGGAGCAGGAAGGACCATGGAGGCTGGAATCCTAAGCCACATAGATACCTAGTGGAGTCAGTCAAATTTGTCTTGGTAACAGAGCCAGCCTTGGCTCAAAGCAATGAATGTCCTCAGCAGCCATCATGGGATGCTTCTAAAGAAGAGTGCCCCCCCCCCCAGGCATTGGGCCAGATGATGCTTTGTATATAGGACATGAGGGACACACAGCTCCACCACTGTATAGAGAACCCCATGGCCTTCCGTGTCACACAGCCAGGGGCTGACTTCCTCCAGTACCATTTGCAGGCTTGGCTCCTTCCAAGGGATTTTATTTTGCTAAGAGGTAGGGAAAGGGATTTTGAGCTGGGGGCATCCAGTCTCTGTGACTGTCAGGGTTCCTTCGGCAGCTGTGCTGATGGATTTATTCCAAAGAAAAGAATCAAATCTGGAAGAGGAAACTGCTCCCCAGCTGACTGCAGATTTGCTAGAACCTTAGGCCAGCTCATTTCCAAAGCCAGCTCAATCCTGATTGACCGTCTAAATGAGATGCCACACACAGGGCCCTCCAGTCAACCTGGTATGGATTGGCTAAAACTCATTGCATTTAACTCATAATTTTTGGGAACGTGGGGCTGTGGAAACCAGAGCTTCATCTGAATTGAACCTCAGGCCTGGCACATGTGGGCCTGGCCCTACCCTATTACTTTTTGAGATGGGATCTCTTTAAGCTGCCTAGGGTGGGCTTGGACTCACTCTGTAGCCTCGACAGACCTTCCACCTGTGACCTTCCTACCTCAGCCTCCGAGTTGTCGGGAAGACAGGCCTGGCCTCATTTATTCTTTGTAAATAAGGGAGGATTTTTGAGACCAGATTAAAATGTAGGTGAGAACTACAAGAGCCAGTTTCAAATTTAGATTCTCTGCAGCCATCTGGAATGTATGAATATATATCTATAAAGCCTGTGCACTCCTAGGGATGGACAGAGACCCGTGTCCTCCTCTGGCCTCTGGGTACCTGCACCCACATGTGCACAGATACACTAACAGTCAAATAAGTCCTATGTGGTGGCCACACCTTTAATCCCAATACTGGGGAGGCAAGGGCAGGCAGATCTCTGTGAGATCTGTGCCAGCCTGGCCTGTATATAGAATTCCAGTACAGCCAGTGTTGTGCAGCAAGACCCTGTCTCAAAAATGGGGGGTGGGGGAGAGTTAGAAAATAAAATAAACAGAAATGCTTTATTTCAGCATTGCCCCAGGCTGACACCACCTCCCCTTTCTCAGTCTCTGCAGGACTCAGATGTCTGAGTTGATGTCATGTGTACACAGAAGTCGGACTAACCCAAGCACATTGATTGCTTCTTCTCAGTTCTGCCATTGGTCTGCAGAGGTGGAGCCTTTGTCTCTGTGGAAACGGACTCAAAACCTCTGTCTTGGGATGCTTCAGAGTGGACATGGAGGAGGAGACGACTACAGCTTCAGAAACTTAGGAATTTTCTATTTTTTTCTCCTTGAGAACTTTTTTTTAAAAGAATTGAATTTGCTATCTTCACTGATGGACAAGCCCTTTTGGTGGCCTCATTTCCGGGACAAGACCCGTGACCAGTTCCTCTCCTTGACCCGGACTCTGAACTCAAAGGATTTATTTAAGAGTTTAATATATGGGCTGTCCTTCATCCTGTAGTCCTACTCAGTTTCACAGAGAAAAGAAATCAATTATTTGAATAAAGTAAACAGGCTGCTGTCTGTGCCTTACTTCACACAGGGTGAACACAGTTCTTTCCATCCCTCATGAGTGGGTGACAGGTGACACTGGAAAACATACCCGGGCTGCCAAGGGCACTACTGAGCTCCCATGATCCCACAGGAAGAGTAAAGGAAAAGCAGAGTCCAGAAAGATCAATGGGGGATGTCTCTTCTGGCAAAGTTTGCGGGCACTTGAGTGATTCTCACCACAGGATGTGAGACAACACAAATGACGGTCAGCTCAGCTCTTACACCCAGGGTTTTGTTGGAGGTGAAGCAAGCGAGCATGGATCTTACCCGCCAGCCCCTCTGGACGGTGTGCCCCAAGGCTTCCCCCATACCCACATTATTGCAGATCACTTCTCTCAGGAGTCCTTCCTGGAGGTGCCAAGGACCCATCTTTTAGCTCTGGCCTGCTGAGTTTATTGTACAATGGGTTCTCTAGATGCTCTGTAACAAGCTGGGCCAAGAACAGCTTCCTGAGGGCTGAGAAGTTCACCCACACCTGATGAGGGGTGTCTTTCTGTATGCTGTGAATATATAACAACTCCCTTTTACACATACTTTGCCTGACTTCTTGGGATAAGCTTCGAGGCTTAGGGAGGCCATGGCTTGCAGTGTCCTGGGGATGTGAATTTTGGAGGCAGGCTGGCTTTTGTGTTGTTACAGTACCTGACATGAACTAGGCAGGATTCATGTTTCCACCATAGTTTGCACCATAGCATGTGACAGGCATTCAGGTCACAGTGGGCGGTGAAGCAGAGAGAGGGGCTTACCAGGTCTCAGCTTGCTTTCCCTTTCTCTTCCTCTTGCATCTGAGCCCCCAGCCTAAGGGACAGTGCTGCCCTCACATAGAACCAGTCTTTTCCTTTTAGCTCACCTGTCTCTGGAAATACCCTCTTGGACATACCCAGAGCTCTGCTTATCTAATCTCCAGGTGCCTCTGCTGATGACAAGTTACTTGCTGTCTCAGTGGCAGATGGTGTCACTTCATCCATACAATGGAGCTCCCTAAAACTTCATGCGATTACTAAGAAGGGTGACATGGGCCATGCCCCTGTGTGAAGACAGAACCTGTCCCCCTTGTCTTCAAAATAGCGAGAGAGTAACCAGGCCTCTGAGACCCTTTTCCGTATTTTTTTTAAGTTACATTTATTTGTTCATAGGTGTGTTGGTGCACACACGTCATAGAACTTGTTCAGAGGTCAGAGGACAACTTGTGGGAGTCTATTCTCTCCTGCCATGTGTGGTTCCACAGACTGAACTCAACTAGTCAGGCATGGCAGCAAGCACCTTTGACTATGTCACTCCTGAGATTTTTTTTTTTTTTCTGTTCATTCAGTTGTCATTGTAAGCATTACAACAATGGATTCTGGCACTCTGGAGCCGAAGAATACTGAGTGTTACAGCTAGGACAGAAAGGTATTCTGAAGGAATACCACAGGTCCCAGTAAGTGTAACAGCTTATAGCCCTGTTCCAGAGAAAGGCTTCCGCAGTGAAGTTGGTACAGTTTGGCTCCAGTCCATGTCTTAGGGTGTCTATTGCTGTGAAGTTACACTATGACCACAACAACTCTTATAAAGAAAACATTTAGGCCCGGCGATGGTGGTGCACGCCTTTAATCCCAGCACTCGGGAAGCAGAGGCAGGCTGATCTCTTGAGTTTGAGGTCAGCTTGGTCTACTTAGCGAGCTCCAGGACAGCCTCCAAAGCTACAGAGAAACCCTGTCTCAAAAAACCAATAATAAATAAATAAGTAAATAAATAAATACAAACCCTCTTCTTGGGCTCAGTAATAGAGTACTTGCCTAGTTTGCATCAGAACCTGTCCCTAGTGCACATGCACACAAACTCTTCCTGGGGCTGCAAGGATGATTAGGGAGATGCAATGGTTAATTTTAATGTCAACTTGCCACAATTAGTCACTTGAGTAGTGAGCCTCCCCTGCAGAACTATCCCAATTGCCTTGATTGACACGGGAAGAACCAGCCTGACTGTGGGTTGCCCTTTCTGGTAGCAGTCCAGACTTCAAAAGGAAAATTATCTGCTTTTCGCTCTGACATCAGGACCAGAAAGTCTGGGCTTCCATTACGGACTGACCACCATCAGGAGCTCTCCAGGAGCCTTTCTTAGGGTCTGAAGCACATGGGATTGCTGAGGCACTAGCCTCAGGGACTGAGTAACTACTGGGTTTTCAGCCTCTCAGGTGTGAGACAGCAGTTGTTGTTATTTGTTTTTTCAAGACAGAGTTTGGAGTCTGTCCTGGAACTTGTTCTGTAAACCAGGCTGGCCTCGAACTCACAGAAGCCTGCCTGCTGTTGCCTCCTGAGTGCTGGGATTAAAAGCATATGCCACTACCACCTGGCCAGTTATTACTTGCACTTAAGATGACTTACTAAATTCTTTCAATGTATAGATTCTTCCTGTTGGCTGTGCTCCTCTGGAGAACCCTGAGCAATATAGCGGGTAAGAGCTCTGCAAGTATGAGGGACCTCAATTTGAATCCCCAGCCCTCACAAATCTGGGCATGGATACATGTGCCTGAAGTACCAGCATTGGGGGGGGGGGGTGATAGTGGCGGTGACATGTGGATCTTGAGAACTCTATGACCAGCCAATTACACTGAAACAGTGAACTTGAGGTTCAGTGAGAACTTATCTCAAGGCAATAATACGGAGAACATGCATACACATGGACACATGCACACACACACATACACCATTCCACACATACAATAAGGAACGTTTTTGGTTTTTGTTTGTTTTGAGATGGGTTTTTCTGTGTAGCTCTGTATACCAGGCAGGCCTTGAACCTCGCAATCTCTCAGCCTTCCAAGTGCTGGGATTAAAGGCATGAGCCACCATGCCCGGCCACAATAAAAAAAAACTTAATTAAAATACAAACCCCTCTTCCTGCTGGGTGCTATGGCTCATACTTTGATCCCAGCACTCAGGAGACAGAGGCAGGTGATCTCTGCAAATCGACATCAGTCTTGTGTACACAGTGAGTTCAAGCCACCTGGGGAACATCAACAAAACCTCTTCCTGTATCTACCTAAAGAGTAGCCCCTGCCTCGGGATGGACAGTGTCTGTGTTCGGAGCACAGGAGAGTAACTGCTGGGCAACAGAGAACACCCAGATCTTTGCTGTTCCCTTCCCCTCAGGCTGCATGCAGACAGCATCGGAGCTACGGCTGTGGAATCTTGGGTTCTGAGAGCTAGTGAGTCAATCTCAGTGACTCTCCAGACAGACACTCTGACAGTCTTCCAGAGGCTTCCATGTTCTCAGCTAGAGTGCCTGGAGGCTTCCACATTGGCAATCTAAGATCATCCAGGCTTCCCTGAGCAGATGTTTCAGATATGACAGGCAATTTTCTTTCTGGATGTCCTGGAACTCGCTCTGTAGACCAGGCTGGCCTTCCTACTAATAGAGATCCGCCTGTCTCTGCTTCCCTAATGCTTTGATTAAAGGTGTGTGCCACAACTACCTGGCTGGGACTAGTAATTTTCAAAATGAGCCAGCCTGCAACCTTGTGTTTCAGTTTGTCTGGAGTCCTACCTCCATGAAGAGATAGGGAGCAACACACTGAGTGGGGAGGGGCAAGTCATTTATAGAAGGGCATGTGGACAGAGAGATACTTCTCAATCATGGGACATCTCATTGGCTATGTTCATCATTAGGAATGTACTGGGCAGACAGAGACCTCCAGTGCACTGTCCAGCATTTTGTTGAGGAAGGTTCTTTCACTTGGCCTAGCCAAGTAGGTTAGGCTGGCTGGTGAGTAAGCCTCAGGGAGCCACCTGACTCTGCCTACCTAATGCTGGGATTAAAAACACCTGCCACCATGCCTACATTTTTTTTGTTGTTTGTTTTTAATAATTTATTTTTATTTTGTGTGCATTGGTGTTTTACCTGCATGTATGCCTGTGTGAGGGTGTTGGATCCTGGAGTTACAGACAGTCGTGAGCTGCCACGTGGGCCCTGGGAATTGAACCCAGGTCTTCCAGAAAAGCAGTCAGTGCTCCTAACCGATGAGCCATTTCTCCAACCCAGTTTGTTTTTTAACATGGGTTCTGGATCAAACTCAGACCCTCATGCTTTCTATCTTTGCCTTTTGTTTGTTTGTATTACAAGGAGTTTCTCTGTGTAGTCCTGATGTCCTGGAACTTGCTCTGTAGACCAGGCTGGCCTCAGACTCACAGAGATATGCCTCCTGAATGCTGGGGTTAAAGGCATGCACCACTACTGACCAGCTGAGGTCCTCAGGCTTTGAGGCAAGTGCTTTACCCACCAAGCTACTTCCCCAGCACACCTTTGTGCTTTCAATTGCTCTTTAAACACTTTTATTTTTATGCATCTGGTTGTTTTACCCACATGTGTGCCTGTGAACCACTTGGGTGCCCTGTGCTCAAAGAAGGAGGCAAAAGAGGACCTCAGAGCCTCTGGAACTGGAGTTACAGACAGTTGCGTATAAGCTGGCTATGTGGATGCTGGGAACAGAACCCAAATCCTCTGCAAGAGAAACAAATGCTCTTAACTGCTGGGTTATTTCTCCAGCTCCTCCCCAACACCAAGTGCTTCCTAGGGTCCTGGCTTTGCAGATCTCACCAGCAGTCCAGCTTTCTCTATATTGCAGGTCCTTCTGAGACTAAAGCAGAAACCAGAGACTATGTGAAGAAACCTTTAAAAGGGAACCAGGTTTGCTGATCTCAGCCAATCTGGGTTTCCAATCCTGCCAAGTTCAGTATACCATGTCTATTTTTGTAGCAGACTTCAAAATAAGAATGAGACATGTGCTGTGGCATAATGTCACTGTCCTAAGAAAAAGTACATGTGCTAGACTTTAAATATATCAGCTTTGAAACTGCCACCTAAGGATTGTTTCTATGGTACCAGCCTATTTAAAGTTGTAACTGAGCCAGTCTCCACACACCCTGCACAGTCTTTCGGGAGGATGCAGAAACCGCGAGGAGTGATCTGGAGCACTGGCAGTGGGGTGACCATGGAAGCTCTTTG